AGCAGACTTAGTAGGGCTGGTCTGGTGAGGGCTGGGGAGTACACTTAGTAGGGCTGGTCTGATGAGGGCTAGGGAGCAGACTTAGTAGAGCTGGTCTGGTGAGGGCTGGGGAGCAGACTTAGTAGGGCTGGTCTGGTGAGGGCTGGGGAGTACACTTAGTAGGACTGGTCTGGTGAGGGCTGGGGAGCAGACTTAGTAGAGCTGGTCTGATGAGGGCTGGGGAGTACACTTAGTAGGACTGGTCTGATGAGGGCTGGGGAGCAGACTTAGGGCTGGTCTGGTGAGGGCTGGGGAGCACACTTAGAGCTGGTCTGGTGAGAGCTGGGGAGTACACTTAGTAGGGCTGGTCTGATGAGGGCTGGGGAGCACACTTAGTAGGGCTGGTCTGATGAGGGCTGGGGAGCACACTTAGGGCTGGTCTGATGAGGGCTGGGGAGCACACTTAGGGCTGATCTGGTGAGGGCTGGGGAGCAGACTTAGTAGGGCTGGTCTGCTTCTGTGGGTGTTGCCCACTCCCTGTCCTGGGAACTCTCTAGGCAGCACCTTAGGGCTAGGTGAGGAAATTGAGGCTTGTGGAGGGGATACATGCTGTGGTGTGATGACTAGATCACAGGACTTTAGGGCCAGGAAGGCCTGGGTTCAAATCCTGCCTCAGCTGCACTGGTGGATGAAGTCCCTCAGCTTCTCTCTGCCTCAGTTTCCTCAGCTGTCAGGTGAGGGGGCCGGAAGGTCCCCGGGGTCCTTTCCAGCTAGTTCTCCATCCGTGGTGGCTGAGCTGGGATCTGCACCCAGGTCTCTGGGTCCCCCATTCAGCGTTCTTTCACCTTGACCTGCTTTGGGCCTGCGTTGCTTCTTGTCTTGTGCACTAACCCTCTTCTTCCTCCTCTCCTTCTCCTAGGACGTGGGTCTCCTGGAGTATCAGCACCACTCCCGGGAGTACACCCCCCACCTGTCCCCTGGATCTATCATTCAGCCCCAGCGGAGGCGGCCGTCCTTGCTGTCGGAGTTCCAGCCGGGGAATGAGAGGTGAGGACCTGAAGCTGCCCAGGGGGCGGGGTGGGGGCGTGCTTCTGGGGGGCTCTCCTGCCAGGTCGAACCTCGCCCTTTACTGGGGCGGCTCAGACCCTGCCCTGCGATTTAGAGCCTTCGAGAGCTGCTCAGATCTTCTGGGCTCTGAGGCCTCAGTCCTGGCTTCCAGGGCCCCTGGTGTTGTTCCGTGAGACTGGGGCTGGTTCTTGCCGTTTTACAGACTAGGAAACTGAGGCTAGAGTGGGGAGGGGACTAAGGCTTGTGAAATACGTGCAGGTGGAAACGGGCAGAGAGCAGGGCTGGAGCCCATCTGGAATTCAGGAGCCTTTCACTGCCCGGCAGAGTGTTAGAGCCTGACCAAGAGGAGGAGGGGAGGAGTGAGGGAGGAAAGAGGAGGAGGGAGCAGCGGCAGCAGCTGAATCAGGGGATCCTGGATCTGGAGCTGAAAGGGACCTCTGAGGCCACCTGCCAAGCCTAACTCCTTGTTTGACAGATGAGGAAACTGAGGCCCAGAGAGGTGAGATGGCTTTCTCAGAGTCACACATCAAATCAAATTTGCACCCAGGTCTTCTCATCTTGAAGATCGTTTAGATCCAGCTTCAGACACTTAGTAGCTGGGTGACCCTGGGCAAGTCACTTAACATCTGTCTGCCTCGGTTTCCTCTACTGCAAAACAGGGATAAAGCAGCTGCGTCAAAGAGTTGTTGTGAGGATCCAGTGTCCCTGGTCAGCATGCTTAGCCTAGTGGCTGGCGCGCGTCCCCTCCCCCTCTCCGGCCCCTGCACTGTCCCCCCATGCCTGTGTCTGTAGATCAGGCCTCTTCTGGGAGCCCCAGGTGACAGCCAGCCAGCCCCAGTGTTTCCCCGAGGAGAGGTCAGGGCAGCTGGCCTGCCGGGGAGACTGCCTGGGGACCTTGGGACGACATCCCTCGTTTCCTGTGACTTTGTGATGCGGACGGGAGCACGGCGGGTTCTGGGCAGGGCAGAGCCTGAGAGCCGTAAAGGCCCCCAGCCGACCCTCTCTCACCTTCCCTTCAGCCTCAGTCTCTCTCTGCTGTCTTGAGTGAGTCTTCTCTGAGCCTTCTGGGTGGCCCAGGCAGGGGCCTGGGTTCAGATGGGGCACATCCTCTCACCACCCTGGGCTTCAGTTTTCCCATCAGCAGAATGCTGGCCCCTGGGGTCCCTTCCAGCTCTGCGTCCATTTATTATCTGAGCGCGATGTGGGAGCGAGAACTCCGCCTCTGGATTCTTGGGGCCGAGGAGGGTGGTCTGATGCTCTCGCTGGGCATCTGTGCCCAGAACTTCATGCCTGGAGGGACGCTCGGCGACCGTCTTGTCAGACCTCCCCTGGTCACCCCCTCAGCTGGGAGGCTTCCCAGAAGCATCCCCCTCCTCTCGGGGAGAGCTCTGTGATCAGGAGCGTCTCCTGACATTGACCGTAAAGAGAAAGGCAGCTCAGAGCCGTGGAAAGAGTGCGTGTCTGGGCCTCAGTCTCCTCACGTGTACCATGAGAAGATGACCAGCTCTAAATCAAGGGGGGGATAGAGATGGGGATAAAGAGAGGCCTTGGATTTCCCTTCAAAGGGAACTGCCAGACAAGGAAAGTCCCTCCCTCGATGCAAGTCAGCACCTTCTCCTGCGTTTATCTCTGCCCTGGGTCGAATCCAGGGCCTCCTGACTGAGGCCACCTCTTTCTCCTCTCGGTCGCTCTACTTCTTAATCTGTGGTTCTATAAAATTGGTCTCTGGGGCTTCCGCTTGTTTCTTGTAGCTCTGTCCTTTAGGGCCAGGCTGCTCCCCACTGCCCATGATGACCGGCACGTCCCTGCTGAGCCTCCTTTCCTCCAGACTATTCCTTCCTGGCCCCTCTCACCAGCCCTCCCGAGGCCCGGCCCCCCTCACCAGCCCTCCCAAGGCCCGGCCCCCCCAACCAGCCCTCCTGTGGTCCGGCTCCCCTAACCAGCCGTCCCGTGGCCCGGACCTCTAACCAGCCCTCCCGTGGCCCTTCTCGTGGCCACTCCCCGGTGAACCTTCATGGTCTCCTTTCTCAGACCTGGCTCTACCTGCCCTCCCCAGCCCAGGTGGGCCAAGGCCCAGGGCCTCTCCCTTCCTCCCCAGAGGAGCCCAGGCCCCTGGAACCTTCACGCTCCCCACCCCCAGCCTCAGTGAGTAAGCTCTTGTGTTTGCTGTAGTGAATTGTTGACTCAGCCCAGGGGGACAAGCCCAGTTAATCCTCCACCTCCACTTTCACAATAACTGTCATTTTCCTCTCCACATCTGGGGGTAGGTGGACGGCTGTGTATTCTAGGAGGAGAAGATAGTGTGAGGAGAAGCAGAAAGGCAGGAGGACAGAACCAGCCTCCTTGGGGTGCAGGGAGCAGCCATGGGATGAGATGGGGCTGGAAAGTGGTGTGTGCAAGGGGCGGGGTCATGCAAGGCCTTGAATGCCGGACTAAGGAGTTTAGACTTCCTTTGGAGCTGGAAGGGCCTTGGCTGAGGCGGGCGCCTCTGGGAGCAGCGCGTCATGCCTGCTGGGCCGGGAACTTGTTTGGACAATGTCTTTATTTCTCCCTCTGTCTTTTTATTGTTACCAGAGGTGGCTTTCTGGGAGTGAGAGGCACATATTTGGAAGTGAAGAGAGGTAGAGCCCAAAGAGATGGATGGTCTTTAAGGCATCCTACAAGGAGCCTTAGAGGCAACCCAGACTCCCTCAGCACAAAGGTTAGGTGGGTGGTCCTGCAGGCAGTTGGCATCTGTAAAGCACCTACTGTGTGCGAGGCCCTGAGGAGACCGGCAGAAAAGAGAGTTGGCCCTTCGGGGGAAGGATGAACTTTGTCCCATCATGTCTCGAGCAAGTGTCAGAGATAGGCCTTGAACCCAGGGCCTCCTGACTCCAGTGACATGCTCCCCACCCATGTCAGCCTAGGATGTGTTCATGGGGTTTGGGAGCAGGATCCCTGTGGAGAGCTGGACCAGGCAGGTGCTGGGAGAGCCCCTGAGCCCCTGTGGGGGAGGGAGGGGGGGGGGGGGGGGAGAAGGAGGAGGGGGGAGGGGGGGGGGGGCGGCGGGGGGGGGGTGTTAGGGGATATTGTCTCATCAGCAGAGCTTTGCCGGGCTTTGGGCTTCTCACTTGGCAGCAATTAAGTCTTAAAGAGTTCATCTAGAGATCATGTGAGGTGTGTTCCTCTGTCACTAATGACGCTCACTGCACATTAACCAGCTGCCAGACTGACCCAGGCCCAGGGAGGGGGTGGGCCCGGAGGAGGACGAGGCGGGCACCAGGCCCCTAATGACTGGCCTCAGGAGCTATTTAGTCTTTTGATGGGGGGAGGGGAGGAAGTGGCGCAGCTGCCCTGCCCCTGGGGGCGGCTTCATCCGTCCAGTGGTGTGTGTCTGCTCACTGCACTGGTGTTTTGGGGACCTCTGTACATACAGCTCTGTATTACTTGTCTATACCAGTGGTTTGTGTGCACCGACATTGCTGTCTGCTCCTCCACGTGGGCTGTGCCCAGGGGTCGCCCTGTGGTGCCTAGTCTAATGTAATCTGTGGGCAGGGAGGGAGAGGCGTGGGCATAGAAGGCTCTTTGCCGCCTCCCTCTGATGGCAGGGGCAGAGTGAGTGTGTCTGGGAGATTGGGAAGGAGTGAAGGGATGGAAAAGAGCCTTGGCCCGGGGGAGGCTGGGAAGTTGGCTGGGTTCCCTCCCCTGGCACTAGAGGAAGGTGGGAGGTAGGAGAAGGAAGGGAGGGGACCCTCCCAAGCTGTGAAAAACTGGGCAAGATGGGAGCCCTGCAGCCTCATTTTTTCCCAAAATTAATGTGGGAAAATAACGAAAGAAACAGCTGGAGGCAGCTGGGCTTTGGTTTTTTTGAAAACCTATTTTTGGTGGTGGCTGGGAGGGGCGGACATTGTCATCGAGCTAGCCCCCCTCCTCCCAGCCTTGCTAGCCAGAGGCCCTCCCTCGGATCTGAGGCCTGGCTGCAGCCTCCAGCACAGACCTGTTCCTCTCCTCCTCCCTGTGCCTTGGCGGGGAGCAGCTGGTGTCATGGAAAGAATGCCAGGCCTGAGCTCTCAGGCCTCAGGCTGCGGCCTTCCCCTGCACCTCAGTTTACTCATCTGTAGGCAGGAGAGGTGCCTCTGGACTCTGAGGACTCTTGGTTGTCACAGGCCAGGACTCACAGAACCATGTGGCCTGCCAGGGAGGGACGAGGTCAGGGGTGTCAGGGGGATGCCCGAGTGTCCGCAGCGTCCAGCCTTCTCAAAGATCAGAACGGGCAGGTCTGTAGAGATCGTCTCCCGTGCACCCCCTCGCCCAGCCCTCCCTCCCACACCCCAGAGAGGGGACCTCACTTAGAGTTACCCAGATCAGAGATCTCAGCTCTGGAGCTGGGAGGAGCCTTGGAGGTCATCCGGGTCAACACTCGTCATTTGACAGAAGAGGAAACTCTGAGGGAAGAGGAGTGAGTCGGCTGGAGAAGTAGAGCTGACATCCTCAGACCTGTGTTTTCTGACTCATTTCACTGCCCTCCCACCAGACCACATGTTCTCCAATAACTTGCCCCTGAGGTCGCCTTGGCCAAAGCCAGATCATTTCCCCCTCTTTTAAAATATTTTATTGTTGCTCTTTTATTCATTAATTTTTATGTGCACCTCCCTTCCGCAGTCCCCAGCACCCTCCACTATAGAACCGATAACCAAGCCAAGGAATGCATCATGGTGGCCGTGCCTGGAAACCCACATCTCATTCCACACTCGTCATCTAGTGCCTCTCTGCCAGGATGTGGGAGGCTTTGGGGGCCGCCATCAGTCCTCTGAAGTCATGATCAAGCTGCATTGATGTCTTTCCAGTTGTCAGACATTCCCCTGAGCCGTGCGAGGCCTTTAGGACCTGGCTCAGAGGCCAGGCGTCTTTTGGGCAGACGTGGGTACTCGAAGCTGGAGGGTGTGTGCGTGGGGGGATGCTCCCAGGCCTTGAATCTCCGGGAGGTTGGACAGGTCGGG